AACTTTTTTTCTTATATTATAAAAACTAATTTTGCAAAAAAGTAATCCTTATTTTTAAATATAATTATGCAAAGTTTTATTTAAATATTTTAGCATTTTAAAAAAGTAAATCAGAGCTAAAAAGTGCAAAAACACAGGCAAATTTGCCTGTGTTGGTTTACATATTAAGGGATAGATACACTTGGTTCACTTAAAAGAGTGTAAGTTTTCATTTACTAAAATAAACTGTCTACTAGAGCCTGCATAGTACTAAATCTTTTTGATAAGTGATAAACTCTAAACTTGTTGGCAAGTAGCATATAAGAACTATCTCTAAATGACAAGTGCCATGTTTACAATAAATAATAAACTCTAAAGCTGCTAGCAGGTAGTATATGAGAACTATCTCTAAATAATAGCTACTGATTTATGGTCCTGTTTCTCATATCTTATGTTCAAACTCTTTGGGTTTTACACTAGTTTATTGTATTTTTTCTTAGTAGAATACTTTTTAGAAAATGTAGTTCAAGTAATTATCAGAAAGAGTTTTCCAAAATAAATTGAGCATAATCTGTTATATATTTAAGTTTTGCAATTATTTAATATAAAAAAAACTCTAATTCTAACTTTAATCTAACTATAATTTAAACTATAACCCTTATTTTAACTCTAACTATTTATAAACTTATTTAAATTAGTTTAAATAATTATTTTTATATATTATAATCTTATAATATTTTTATATTTATATCTATAATAAATATTAACCAAAAAAGTATTAGTTAAGTAAAACTAAATAAAATCAAAAAATAAAAGCACAAATTTAATAAGAATTATTTAAAACTAAACAAAACAAAAAAAAAAAAACACCACAGGCTTAGGAATGGACGGCAGTTGTGACTAGAGGGTTTAAATGGGTATCCCCATAGTCGGGATGCAGGTACGGCAGCTAGTGTGGAACCTAGGGCAGACTACTTAAATAGGCAACCAAAAGTTGCAGGTATAGCTAGTCGTACTCTCATTAGTAATAATCAGAGAGCTTAAATAGGTAATCTCCTAGTTAGGTTGCAGGTATGGTGGCTAGTGTAGAACCCAGGCGGACCACTTAAATTAGGTACCAAAAGTACACGTGTGGCTTGATGTACCCTCGTTGTAACTGTAACCCGAAGTTAATAAGTTAATAAAAAGTTCCCGGCCGTAGAGGTCACCTTAATACCAAAAAAAAAAAAAAAAAAAAAAAAAAACACCACAAACTTTAACAACAAAATTATATTAACTTTAATGACAAAGACTTAACTATATACTTAAAAGAAAAAAAAAATAGTAATTAGTAAAACTCAAGCAACAAATTTATACCAACTTCAAAATAAAAAACCAACTATATACTAAAAAAAAAAAAAAGTATGCAAATACAAACCAAAAAAACAAAAGTACAAATTTTAATAAGCTACATATCTGGTAGCAACTGCAAACCAAATAATGCCAAAAAGATAAAAGCCACAAACTAACAATAAATTTTATACTAACACCAACAACAAGAATTTAATTATATACCAGAAAGAAGAAAAAGCAGTAGTCAAGTGAAACCAAAAGAAATTGAAAGATGAAAACTACAAACTTTAGTAATGAACTTTATGCTAATTTTAGAGCAAAAACTTAACTATATACTTGGAAAAATAAAAAAGTATTAGTTAAATAAAACTAACTAAAATCAAAAAAATAAAAACAAAGTGCAAACCAAAAGAAGCCAAAAAGACAAATCACAAATTCAATAAAAAGAAAGCAAAAGCCACAAAATTTGTGATAAAAAACTTAACTATATATGCAAACCAAAAGAGAACTAAGAGACAAAAGCCACAATTTAAAGAAATAAAAAATAAAAAAACAAAAATTATATAACATATATGTTTATTAGATAATTTGATTGGAGTTAATCAAGACTAGTTGTTGATGGTTGGATTAGCACACACTATAAATGTAATCAACTGACTTTCTTGAGTTTTGATTGGCTAAGTAGGCCAGAAATATATAAGTTATATATTTTTAACCAGAGATGCCTAGAAATTCCTTTAAAAATATTTAAATACTTATTTAACTAAATTTAATTAATTATAAAAAATAGCAAAATTCAAATAAAAAAATTTTATTAAATATCTTTAACCAAATTTTAAAATTAATTTTAATATAGTTTTATTTAATAAATAATTAAAATTTTGCAAAAAAACTTAATAAAATATCTTAATATTTATTTAACCAAATTTGATAAATTTTTTTATTTAATTAATTATAAAAAATAGCAAAATTTAAATAAAAAAAATATTATTATTATTTTTTAATTACTATATAGAATGTTATATATTGAATAGATATCTATTCAAAAATCAAATAAAACAGTTTTTCAAAAAATTGTAAAAATAAGCTGTTTTAACATGTACACACCATATTGTTTTACAAAATTTTGCTTTTATACAGGTTTTGGCCATCAATTTCGGACACCCTTATCAAGAACGTACCCACCTCAAATAATAAATTTCAATTAACAAGTATTTAAAAGTAGGTGCATTCTTGATAGGGGTGTCCGAAATTGATGGCCAAAACCTATATTAAATATTTTATTATTTTTTTTCTTAACTTTTTTTCTAATTCAAATACCTTAAATAATTTTTTATAAAATTTTATATAAAAAGATTATTTTCACTCTTTTTTAAAGCTAATAGTTGTTTGCGAATAAACTGCAATCTATACTTGATTATATTAAAGTAAGTACAACTTACTCTCATTATAGTGAATTCTCCTATAGTGAAGAATTTTAAATTCCAAAATTATTAAACTTTAACTCAATATAGAGAAGAACATACTGTATATAGAATTCTTTCGATATGAGCTATAGTAAGGATTTTTTTTCAGCCCGGGATTTCATTATACCGAGAGTAAGTTTATTTTTTAAACCTTAAATTAACTTTTCTAAACCTAATAGTAGCATAACTTAAATTAGTTTACAAATAAAGATCAGAGATAAAATGTCATATGGTGTTGAATACTACTATATAGTTCGCTTTAGTATTCGTGAAAATTTTAAATAATATATATTAACTAATTATATACTAATTTTTATTTAGTTTAAAAAAGAAAAAAAGTGAGCATAATAAAATTTTACCGTATTGTCGCGAAATAATAGGCATGATTGTTATTTAGAAAATCATGACCCTAAAAATGGCATGCATGGTTTCAAAATAACGTCCATGCGCGTCCTAAAATGACGCACACACCTTATATTAGAGCTTCAATAAGTAATTGGATATAATAGGCATGTTTAGGAAAAATTTTATCTTTTATACGCGCAGGTGGGCGTTATTTTACGATAATATGGTAAGTAATTTATAAATAATTATGCTTAAAGTAACCTTTTTTTTTATGCTAACAGTTCTAATTTCGTAACTTTGTTCCTAAGATCAGTCAGTATTCTCAAGTTTATATTTCTTAATATATATAGTAATAATATTAAGAGCAATTAACGATAATTAGAGTTTCGCATTCAGGTGTGAAATACGTGATGCTAACACTAATAAAGAAACGCGATTAAGAGGTTATATGACCATCTAGTATAATCTATACGAATAAAAAAATGACAATAGAACATAAGAATTACATAACAAAGAACCACGTTGAACATTGACCTTTTTGCATGTATCTTGGCAAAGATACATGGAATAATTTATTGTAGGGGACATAAACTGAAAGGCCAGATTTACATTTTTTAATCAAGAAAACGTTAAGAGATTACCTTTTTAGTAATATGATATAGATAAAAAAAGGTAATATGGAAAAGATTTCTAATAGATATTAATACTTATCGTATTAATAGACTAAAATTTATATGATATCAGATATATAGATGTACAGTACGGATAATAATGAATAAGTGACAATATGAATATTAGAAGAAATAAATGAGGTATATATCTATTATAAACAAATAAAGGAACGATAATATATAATTTTAAAAAAGGCATTAATTTTTAAAAGATTCTTTAGTTTAAATGTTGAAATGTTGAAATGTTGAAATGTTGAAATGATAAGAAATGTCCATATTCCTAATAACCAACTAAATAATTAGTATAATTAAAGATTTGTAAGAAAATTAAATTAATTTTTTCGAGAAAAAAAAAAAAAAACAAGAAAATTTTTTAATATAAACACATACAATAATTAATTTTTACATGATCGTACAACAACAATTTTGCGGGGCGTCATCTTTTTCCGAGATGGAATTTTTCTTAGACCTAAACACGCTACACAAAACTCTCTTCTTTTTCTTTGGAGGAGGAGGAGGTAATACCATCTTCTCATTTATCGGTTCATTTACCTCAGCATGTTCTTCTTCTTCATCTTCTTCTTCATATTCTTCTTCTGACCCCTCCTCTCTTCTTCTTTTTCTGTCTGTGGCTATATTAGCAGGTACTCTTATAATTTTTTTCCTTGTTTTATTATTTCTGCTTTTAAATGTTATAACAGTGACGAACTTCAATGGAAGATCCTCGAACTTTGAAGAAGAAATGTACGTCATAGTATAAGCAGTTGGGGCAGGTTTAGCATCGTTAGGAACAACTTTTGAACCCCGAGATTTCGGATTAATATCAACATGAGCTATTGTGTTTGCTTCATTGCTGCAGAATAAAGTAATATCCCATTTATGACCACCATCGGAAAGAGGTGTATGATATGATTTTACATACATTTTTGTTGATAAATTATGTTAAATTGCCGTAAGAATGTGATGAATATATACTGTATATAGAATCTGTATATAGAATTATATCGTATCGAGTAAAATTCAAATACAAATTTTGAATATTGGGAATAGATGCCGATCTACAGCTAGTTAATAAGGTTCTTTTTTTTTTTAACCTTAACCCCTCTTTGTTTCACGATTACCGAAAACTTTAATTGCTTGATGAAAAAAAAAATAGCTTATTCTTTCAACGTTGGACTGGCACGGCCAGAAAAAGAGATAAATTATTTTTTTAATTTTTTTTTTATTTTTTTTTATAATTTTTTTTTTTGGTTACAGGAATATTTTGAAAATAGAGAGACCATTAACAAAAGGACATTTATTTGTGAGAACTGAGGTATAAGGGAGAATCGGGTGATAAACTAAAGATCAAAGGTTTAAAACTCTAATGTATTTTTTTTTGTGGACGTCAGGATGTAAATATTTATGTGACTTTTTTTTTAGGTGATACTAATTTTGGCATGAAGACAGCGATCGCAAAAACAGATGAAAATAACGGAATAAATATAGTAACCTTGAAAGCACCTGTATCATTTTATGTCATTTTAGTGTGACTAGCCTTGAATATCAGGGATAAAAATAGAGTAATTTTGATGATTTTGGAATATAAAAAATTTTTAAGTACTTGAAATCTTATTATGGTATGAGGCAAAATAACACTGAAACTGTAACCAAACCTTCCACCCGCAGTTATTTATGTAGTCTTTGTTGTAACATTATGATGATAATAATGGAAAATTTGAATATCAAAGGACTAAGATCAAATATTGAAACAAACAAACTTAACCCCGATAATGATAACGTTTTTTAAAACAATGACAATTTATGCATTGCATTATTAACGAAACTTGTTTATATTTTATTAATTTTAAAAAGGGAACTATGTTTCGAAAATTTATTTCACACGATTACCCTTTGTTTTACTATCGCTATCAGCTATGAAACTGCCTATGCATTTTAATGTTAAGTATATCACATTTAGGATTCTAAACTATATTAGTAAATTTGTCATTAAAAATATGGATTATATTGTTATATAAAACGGTTTAAGTCATATTTTCATATCGATATGTATCTAACTATAAGCGATAACCACGTATGTATGTACGTTCAATTCTTGTAACGAATCGGAAATATCATGTATGTATTTACATAAAAATTTATGTATATATGCAACATCTAAATATCGTTATAAACAATTAAGAAAAACAAAATTAAGCATGGCAATTTTTTTATTGGTTTTAAATATTATGTAAGCTATTGACTACATGTGATAATACCAATTAAAATATATATGTAATTCAGCCAGCAATTTTATTATAGTTTATGGTGCGAATTAAAATCTTTTTTAAAAAAAATTAAACCATTAAAACATAGTTTTCGCGTATGCTATTTTTCAAAGCAAGCAATTAACGTTAAATAATTTGATTTAATATATTGCTTACAGATCAAGATCGAAACTTTGTTTTACATATGTTCTCTATAGAAAGTAATTACATATTGCATATTATCATCATTATGTACAGCATGGTGGACAAACCTCGTAGCACAAACTTCCCACGCTGACTCAGGGTCGATCTGTCCAATAAAAATATAATATTTACCGATCACATGCACAATTTTTAATCAGTTTATAATAATTCGAAAGATTTTTATTTACTAGATCAAGGATA